CAAACAACAATGATGGCTGCAACCAAAAAATAGCTGGGCATTGTGGTGGGCGCCTGTAGTCCCAGCTACTTGGGAGGCTGAGGCAGGAGAATTGCTTGAGCCCAGGAGTTGGAAGTTGCTGTGAGCTACAATGCCACGGCACTCTACCCAGGGCGACAGCTTGAGGCTCTGTCTCAAAAAAAAAGAAAGAAAGAAACACATGCATGAGCTAGGGGGTGGGGGTGTGTGTGCACTCAGTGCTACACAGGATCAATGTTTGTGTCACTTGAGTCCGGGAAAACCTTATTCGCCAGGACTTTCAAGTAGGACAGCCTTAGCCCTGGTCCCCCGCTTTGGAGTTTCACCTGGTTCCTTTGGCCAACTATACTGTGTACTTACCACACATGCATGGAGGAACGGTTCCCAGACTCAGTGTTAGTCTCAATGAAATTCTGTCTGGGCATGGCAGGGTGGAGAGCAGCAGGAGGCCCGAGGGGCCCTGGCCACGCAAGGACGCCACTGTCCCGGGTCTGTGTGGCAGTGGAGCTTATCACTCTTACCCCTGCATGCTCTACTCTGTCCGTGCCACACCAACCTGTGTGTTTCTTGTCCCCACAGGGGATACTGAATCCAGCCCAAGGATTCCTCTTGTCCTTGGCCTTCCACGGCTGGACAGGATGCAGCCTGGAGTTTCAGTCCCCCTGGAGGGAGATCCAGTGGGAGTCACTGACGACCTCGGCTAATGAGGGGGCTCACCCAGCTCATGCGGGCTCCTATGAGCCCCCTGAAAGCCCCACTTGCAGAAAGGAATCGAGACTGGGCGGGCAGACTTCTGACGAAGCCCTGAGCATGCTGTCTGAAGGTAACGCCCCACCTGCCAGGACAGGTGGATCTGGGGCCCCAGAGCTCCCTTGGAAAACCTTTCTCAGGAGGTGCCCACAGTGTGAACCGTGGACTTCAGGGTGTGAATGGAAAGTTCCCCTTGCTGATGGCCACTCCTCTCACACTTTACTCTCTACCTCTCTTTTTCCTGTTTCAGTGGTGCCTTCCATTTACTCCTTTATGGCTCCTGCACCATAGCCTTATATTAATTCTCACTGGCTTCCCCTTGGGTTGGATGACATTTTAGAGCTTTTTGCAAGATATTAAGGGGCCACAAGTGATTCTGTTTTATAGATAGCTTTTGTGTGTGGCATTTTGAATGCATGATAAATTGTCACTGGACGCCCTGCCATACATTGGCTGTGAGGCAATGAATGTTATGACATGGTTTCTTTAGCTCATAAGTGCAGTTTGATCTATTCAGCTCCCCTGGAGCATTTAGGATGCAAAGCCTGTCAGCCAGTGCTGGCGCTTCTGGTCTGTCCTTTTCACATGGAGACTCTGGTGTTGAGATCCTCAAGCTAATGAGGTGTTTTCGATATGCAGTTAATCTCAGTGGCTCAAATTCCATACCAAGTTCATATGAACATCTGTGATAAAAATCATGAATACTTAAATGTATTGACCACAAGCATTGACCCCCCAAACCCACTCCCACTGACTTGGCCTGCCAGGGTAGCTTGCTTGCACTCAGAATGACATTTTCCTGGCTACTTCACTTAGGTGAAAACTTAAGTCCCAAGATGGCAAGATAAAACCTGCAAAGCTGCTCTATTTTTAGCTCCTTAGCCATTTAAAACTGTTCTTTATTTGGGGTCAGGGAGAGAGTTGAGACAAAGTCTTGCTCTGTTGCCAGGTCTAAAGTGCCATGGTATCATCATAGCTCACACCAACCTCAAACTCCTGGACTCTGGTGATCCTCCTGCCTCAGCCTCCC